ATACCTGAGGTGAGAATGGCTGCTGCAGATCAGGAGTGAGATGGAAGAAGTGTAAAAAAAACCAAAAAAACAAAACAAAAAAAAACAAAGGAAAGTTGTTCCTATTTGCTGTGCACTGAGGAAAGAGAAGGTGGAAGGCAATAAAGGCAAACTTGTGAGAGTGGTGGGTAGCCCCGAAGGGGTGGAGGCCACGGGAATCTGCTGGGTGCTGTGTACGACCCTTTGGGAGAGGGGGAGGATCTAACTCACGACGCTGCCGTTGCACGAGAAAGGCGGACTGGGACTGGAGCTAATGATTCGTGCATCTCATGCAGCGTCGTCCGTCCCCCCCCCCCCTACAGAATGCCCTCAAGTCTCCCCGTGCGGCACTGGGGGATGTCAGAACGGGGCAGGTGGCACTAGAGGGTCCGTGAAGCCCCTGACACGTGCATGGTGTTCCGTGCCAAAAGGTTCAAGTCCTGTGTCTTGCTGCCTTAGCTCATCCTCCGACTACCGTTAACTTCCTGAATTTGTTTCCAAGTTTTCAGGAGGTTTGCCTGGTCCTTTGGGCTTTCTGCAGGCAGTGCTTCCCAGGAGCTGCTGGAAGCAGAGTGCCGCCGCCGCTGGCGAGAGGCAGATACCGTTTTCCCTGCTAAGGGCTTGCGTGAAGGTTTCTTCCCTTAGGAGAGTACAATGGTGTCAGCCCCATGTATTACATGAGTGCTGGCCTGATTGTCTCCGTGAACTTGGCTCTTTCCTCCTCCCTCAGGTGTGTAACGGAGACTTTTCTTTCTTGGTTTTGGAGTAAGACTTTCTGGGAGGGAGGGGACAAATCCTTTCCACTTCAGGCAAAACGTGGGCTGGCTCAGATGTGGTCCACTGTTAGCGTGTCCTGAAGATTTGTCCATCTTAGCTCTAGATCACTGAAAAACACATCCATATTTCTTGCGTTTCTCTTTTGCCTAGTTCTTCTGTCGCTCAGAGACAAAACTGAGTATAGCCAGGTGCTTCCTGGTCCCTCATTTGGGAAATCGCTGCTCTTGGTCCTTCTTTCCAGCTGTTAAGACGTCATGGTCCATTTGTAGAGTTTTCTTGCTCCTCAAGGTGCAGTGGCCCAGGAAACCTCACCCTTGCGTCAGGGAACAGTCTGCCTGCCTCTTCTGTGGCTCCTGCCCGTGCTCCACCTGCGTCCGGTGGAAGTGCGTAGAGCGTCTCGGTGGTGGCTGGAGAAGGTCGCTGGTTAGAGGCCCCACGTTCGCTCTGGTGTCTCTGCAGTGCGGTCTCCTCTGTGCAGATCTGTTCCCTCGCTGTACGTGGTAGCGCAGTGCCCAAGGAGACGCGTACTAGAGATGCACCGGATGGCTGGAGTTGCCCCAGAGGAGACCGGCTTTGGGAAGCAGTCGATTGTCCTACAGCTCTGGTGGAGCGCTCAGCTCAGTGGATGGCTGCTGACCTCTCCGGTCAGTGGTACTCTGCCATTATAGTGGAATCACGCGGGCGCCTATCAGGACTGCAGCTCCTGTGGAAGATTCGGTCTCCAGAAACATCAGTGACAGCAAACTGCGGGACTCGGGCTGAGAGTGCTCTCGGTGAGAGCCGGACTCGGGACTGCGCAGTTGGGACACCTCACTCTTGCTCAGAGGGGCGCCTCTGCCATCTTCCCTCGCGTCGGCTGGGAAGAGCGCCTGCCTCTCAGTGAATAGGTGGAGGACAACAGGAAAAATACTCAGGCCCTTAAAGACTGCTTAGCATCTGAGTAGAGAATTAGCCGGGGAAGAGACCGATCCCAGAAATAGCATCTACCTGCTGTTTCCAGGGATGACTTCGAGTCCTTGAGAAGAGCCTAAACCAGTGGGCTGATACACGGAGCAAGAGCATTGCGGAGCGGAGAGCCTGGTGCCCCTTGAGCAGCACAGTTTAAGTTCATAATGCTGCTATCGCATTCCTTGTAGAATTTTATACCGCTCTTCGAGAGACGGAACTACTGATTGTGTGTTCACAGAATTCACAGAATTCACAGAATGGTCAGGCTGGAGATCATCTAGTCCAACCCCCCTGCCAGAGCAGGGTCACCTACAGCACGTTACACAGGACAGCGTCCAGGCGGGTTTTGAATGTCTCCAGAGTGGGAGACTCCACCACCTCTCTGGGCAGCCTGTTCCAGTGCTCCACTACCCTCAAAGTAAAGATGTTCCTTCTCATGTTAAGATGGAACTTCCTATGTTCAAGTTTATGCCCATTACCCCTCGTCCTATCACTGGGCGCCACTGAAAAAAGACTACTCCCATCCCCTGGCATCCTCCCATTAAGTTCTTTTAGCCTAAACCATAATCCGGAGCCGAAGACTAACCTTGCCAGAGTAGAGCTGGAGACATCTGCCTAACTTCTGTCAGCACCCCGGCATCAGGGTGTAGGGAGCCCGGTGCTTTGTGTGCTGCTGGCGCTTCCAGAGCTCCTTTAGCTGTTAGTGCCAATGGGACTCTCACAGGGAAAGAAAGAATTTTGTTAAAGCCGGTGATATCTGATAGCGGCTATCTGGATCCCACTGCTGACGCTGTTCCCAATGTCCTGTCTCGGTCTCCATCGGGACTGCAGCAACGGCTGTCTCTGGGTCGTGGGGAGGCTTTTGGAGGAGAAGAGACGCGTGTCGAGCTGCTACGTGAAGGCACGAGGTTGCACCTGAAGTCTCTTTGTTTTCAGATGACTTTCGAAGAAATGGTCCAGGAAGAGCTGCTTTGCAGATTGAAGATAATAGTGGAAAAAGGGTCCCAAATTCTGTAAAAGTGACCGGTGCTTCTTTGTCCGCGGTAGTGGCTGATGTCGTCCTTCTGTGTTTGCCCAGGCTGAACCCGTCTTCTGCAGAGCACCTGAAAATGCAGGAGTCACGACGGGCTCTGCACTGGCCAAACTTGTGCTGACTGAGGAACTTCATAAGCGTTCGCTTCTCCCACGACGCGTTCTCCCAGCTGCGCGGGGCTGTCTGGAAGGGATACGCTGCTGATTTCTCCCCCCAGGATAAAGCTGGGCTGATCTTCCATGTTCGAAGCGCCTTGGCTTCCTTGCTGGAGGGTGGAAAAGATCCTGTCCGCTGCTTCTGCTCAGGTGTTGTGTCCTGTGGCTCTGCAGTCGGGTCTTCTCCTTAAAGGACTCTCGTCCTGTGGAAATTGCTCAGAAATATAACCGTTTGTGTTTGAACGCAGGCCTCGCGCCTGCCTCCACCGTTCCTGTTTGCCAGAGGCAGACCGTGCCAGCGCAGCTTGGTCCCGAAGCACCCCGTGATACGGGGGTTCGACTGAGAAAAGGTCCCGCTTCACGCGCAGCACCGGGCCGCCCTGCCGTGGTGAGCGGTCCTCTCCATCCCAGTGACGCCGCAGCAATGCCGCCTTCACACTGGGACCTCTGCGCCTTGGTCTGGTTTTATTGTTTGCTGGGCGAGACCGTGTGCTCGTCAGGACGTTGTCAGGCTTACGGTTCTTAGGTAGCAAATTTGATTTTCCCGCAATGTGACCTGTTAATTTTAAACCCTGAAAAGATTAATAAACCTCTCATACAATGCGGTAAAGGTCGTGTCACCGGTGTTTGCTCAGCTGGCTTGACTGGAATATACTTTCTGACAGAGCAGAGTCCTCTCGAAGTTATGAGAAGATACAGCACTCTGCTTTCTGTCTTTTAGTTTTCTAAATGACCGAAGTTCCCATTGAGCAAGGAAAAATATGCCGTATTTTCTGTTTGAATTTGTCTCGCTTTTAATTTATTGCCGTAGGAGTGTTTTATGAGCTTTTCCTACTGGGCTGAAGGGCCCGTAGTCTTTCTTACGCTGCGACCCCCCAACAGTTTGGAGGAGGGGATTGTAATCTCTTGTAGACGTACAGCTCTGCCTTCGGGTCTGTTAAGGCACAGTTGAATACGATTCACCGACGAAGCGACAGATACTACTTGTGTGATTGCTGCTTGTTCAGCGTAATATATCACTGTGTCAACTGCAAATCTTGTCTGACCTGGAGCTTTCTTGAGGACCAAGCAGCAAACCGTGGAGCGGTTTCTCGCACGAACGCAGAACTATCTGCAGAGTTTCCTTTTCCTGCTCTGATAGTGTGGCACAATCATCTGGTTTGCTTTCTCAAATAGAAGGAGGAGAAAGGAACGGAAGAGTTGTTTTAACAGCGAGAGAGAAGCCACCGTGTTTAAACAAAACACTGCATTGCGAATTTTCGCTTTTGAAATAGGAAAACGCAATGTATATGACAGATATGGGTCTCGCTGCTTAGGATGGAAAATACAGGCATTAAAATAACCCCTGTAGAAATTAATGGGGCTTAAGCATTTGCACGGCTTTAAAAACTGCTCCCTACTTGCACACTCAGTAGTATTTTCTGACTCTGTCAATAGAGGAGAAAGAGAACTCCTAGAATAGTTTCGAGACCTTGTGATGGAAGACAATCTCCAGCTCGGATCGGGAACTGGCACGCGGCAAGACTGGGATAGATGGCCGTTTCTGGAAGACAAGCTTTAGCCAAAAAAGCCCTGAGCTCAGGTCAGGAGCAACAAGCT